GAGGAGGAGCAGGAGGAGGAGGAGGAGGAAGAGGAGGAGGGAGGAGGACGAGGAGGACGAGGACGAGGAGGAGGGAGGAGGAGGAGGAGGAGGAGGAGGAAGAGGAGGAGGAGGAAGAGAGAGGAGGGCGGAGGAGGAAGAGGTGGAGGAGGAGGACCAGTGCAAACCCCACAGTAATCAACGATGTTGAAATTAGCCCTCCCTCCAAGCTCCCTGTTCACAGGCCCACGGGTCATTTCCATTGGGGAAACTGCCTCGTTGGAAGACAACCGTTTGATGATCCTGAAGCATGCCAAACATTGTTCACTGGATTTCAACGCCACGGATCAACCTGACTGCTGCGTCTTGACGATCTGGAACCGTGCCAGAACGCCGCTTTTGATCTTCAACACCGCGAATCAACATAACTGTTGCACCCGCATCATCCTGAGCCTTTCCAAAACACCATGTCTAGCATGTTAACCATGGGAAGCAATAAAACTCTTGCAAATATTTAAAACAAATTTGCGCGGCGCTAAAGCGAGAGCCACATGTTGAAAAAGAACCACCCTCGATCCGTGAAGCTCTTGCAAATTTCTAAAACGAATGTGCGCGGCGCTAAAGCGAGAGCCACATTCTGCAAAAGAACCGCTCTCAATCCGTGAAGCTCTTGCAAATTTCTAAAACGAATGTGCGCGGCGCGAAGGCGAGAGCCACATTCTGACAAAGAGCCGCCCTCAATCCGTGAAGCTCGTGCAAATGTCTAAAACGAATGTGCGCGGTGCTGAGGCGAGAGCCACATGTTGAAAACCACCCGCCCTCAATCTGTGAAACTCTTGCAAAGTTCTAAAACGAGTGCGCGCGGCGCTAAGGCGAGAGCCACATTATGAAAACCACCCGCCCTCAATCTGCGAAACTCTTGCACATGTTTAAAACGAATGTGCGCGGCGCTAAGGCGAGAGACACAGTTTGAAAACCACCCGCCCTCCATCTGTGAAACTGTTGACACTTGTCAAGCTTCAGTCATAAGTGGTGAGGAAGTCTCAGGCGAAACGCCCAGCCCGCCTTAAAAACTGGCCTCGGGAGGCGACAGGGAGGAATTATGTATAAGGGAAAGGAATGGAGAAGGAGGAGGAGGAGGAGGAGAAGGAGAAGGAGGAGGGGGAGGAAGAAAGGAGGAGGCGGAGGAGGAGGAGGAGGAGGAGGAGGCGGAGGAGGAGGAGGAGGACGAGGACGAAGACGAGGAGAAGGAGGAGGAGGAGGAGGAGGACAAGGAGGAGGAGGGGCACGAGGAGGAGGAGGAGGAGGAGGAGGAGGAGGAGGAGGAGGAGAAGGAGGAGGAGGAGGAGGAGGAGGGGGAGGGAGGAGGAGGAGGAGGAGAGGAGGAGGAGGAGGGAGGAGGAGTAGGAGGAGGGGAGGGGAGGAGGGGAGGAGGAGGAGGGAAGAAGACGACGAGGAGGGAGGAGTGAGGAGGAGGAGGAGGAGGAGGAGGAGGAGGAGGAGGAGGAGAGGAGGAGAGGAGGAGGAGGAGGAGGAGGAGGAGGAGGAGGAGGAGGGGGAGGAGGAGGACGAGGAGGAGGAGGAGGAGGACGAGGACGAGGAGGAGGAAGAGGACCCTTTCCCCTCCCCCGACCCTCCCTGCGAGGGGCCCGGCGGCTGGGCGCCTCCGCCCGCGGGCTGCGCCCACAGCGACGCCCAGCCCTCGCCCGGCGCCGCGCCCCCGCCGCGCCCCTCGCCGGGCGCCGCCAGGCAGAGGCGCAGCGGCGGGCCGGCCAGCCCCGGCACCGAGAAGGCCGGGCTCGCTCGGCGGCGAGCGAGGGGCCCGGAGAGCCGGGCGTGGCAGGTTTGCTCACAGCGGGCGCCGTCGCTCCATGCCGGGCCCCGGGGCCCTCACAGGTCGATCCGGCGCGGAGAACGAGGCAGAAAGCTGGGGTCAGGGGCTCTGGGCGTGAATTTTGGCAGTGTTGCAGTTTCTTGCAAGGTCGGATCTCAGGGGGGGAAGTGAGAGGGAGAAGGCCCACTCCGAAGGCGGCGGGGCTGCCCAGAAGCCACCGCGTCTCCTGAGAAGTTGTTTCGGCGTCCTAGGGGGAGGCTCAGAAGACTGCTCAGAGGGCTGGGGGACTTCCGAGCCTTCTGAGACGGCCAGCCACTTCTCACTTCCCTCCTGACTACCTACCAGACCACCCCAACCCAACCCGAAGACCCGAATTTCGGGTTGGAGGGGGTATGGGCTCCATATGTGTTTTTTCGATGTTCCTGGACCCCCCCCCACTGGAAATCGAGGGTAAATCTGA